CAATCAAATATCTCATTCTACCGACGCGTGAACATGTCAGGAACATGCCCCTGTGTACATGTCAAATTTAGTCCGCATACACGAAAGATATGTCCTTCAGATTTATCCTTCCATATTTCATTGAAATGGGAGGTATATCAAATATGTGAAATAGGCCAAGAACATTTTATTATTGTAATCAAGTTCCGCCACACATTCTGAATTTCATTGAAATCAGACCTATATATCGTGTTTAGTGCATAAAAAAATATATGCACCGAAATATATATATGGGAACTAAACCAAGACCTCAACCGATTTCAATATAATTTGACAAATGTTTTTTGGTACCAAATTTCGTCTTTTGTCCAAATTTTATTGGAATCGGACATACATATCGCGTTGGGTGAATCAAATATATAAAATTGGCCGAAAATATATATGGGAGCTATATCCAAATCTGAACCGATTTCAATATAATTTGACAAATCTATTTTCCGATCAAAATCCCGCCACACATTCCAAATTTCATTTGAACCGAACATACATATTGAAAATTTTTTTTGTTCCCAATTCCGTTACGCATTCCAGATTTGGACTGTATCTGTAATCGATCAAAAGATATGTGGATATAAAATCTAAATTTTTGGGAGGTACCTCCGATTCTTATGATATATCTCCGTTCCAAGTGGAATTTCAAAAATTTATATAGCCCATGTAACTTTCAGGCTATGTTGTAGTATACTTGGAATTTTTAAGGAAATCTCAGTAGCTGTTTTCAAGTCCATAAATTTCAAACAACCAAACAAACAAACAAATACAAACATTTTCCTCCTCTATAAATAAAATCGAAATAAAAATTTGTTATAATTCAACTGCAATTCCAGCACTTAACGTGCAGCAAACAAAATATATATCTTTTGATCGATCACAGATACAGTCTTCAAATTTGGAATGCGTAACGGAATTTGGAAAAATAAATTCTCCAAATTATATTGAAATCGGTTCAGATTTGGATATAGCTCCCATATATATATTCGGCCGGCTTTACATATTTGGAACGTGTGATGGAATTTGCCTAAAAATTGCTTGCCAAATTATATTGAAATCGGTTCAGATATGGATATAGTTCCCATATACATTTTCGGTCGATTTCATGTATTTGATGCACCAAACACGCTATGTATATCCGATTCCAATTAAATTAAAATTAATTAGAAATGGGTAAAGATTTGGATGTAGCTCCCATATATATTCTCCGTCGATTTCACACATTCACACATATATTAAAATCGGTTCAGGTTGGGATATGATTTTAGTACGATGCATTGACCCACAACGCCTTTGCAATGGTATTAGGCTAACAGTTGAAAACTACACAAAATTTTAATTGAGGATACTATCTTAGGGGGAAGTATGTTGCTACGTCAAATTCACTAATTGCAACAGAATAGCCACTCAACTTCAACAGATTGCAGTTAGAACCAGTTAGGTTCGGATTTAATGGAATTCCTATATAGAGAAAGAAATGCTGATATTAAAAAAATCATCAAAATAACAAAAAAGATGGGATAAATATACCCTTCTTATAATAGTGGAGAGTATATAATAACTCCAAACTAAAGGGATAATTACAAAAGTGATAAAAGGACATTTACGAGTTCTAATTTTGTCAACTACAGTCTATGTATGTTCGTGTTTAGCAATTTGTCGAATTAAAAAAAAATAATAGCACAACAAAATAGAAATACCATCTCTGAGCAAAAACAACTACACATCATATCTACAACTGAAATGGTGGTATGGCGAAGAAGAAGAAGTTCATTGAAATAAACTGGCTTTGTTTTGGGGAAGGTTAATGTCAACAAAATCAGTAATTGTTACCATATCCATTTCACAAATAGAAGACGTTGACACGCCCTTCTTCTGTCATTCGTTTTAGAATTCTGTAATTTTCGGGCGAGGGAGGTGGTCGTATCAACTTATGCATTGGAAACTCTTGGCCATCGACAGTGAGAACGCGGTCCTGCAATAGTTGGCATGTTAATTTGTGGCAAAAAATAGAATACTCTGCATACACTCAGTAATTACTTAATGGATGGAATCAATTATTGAATAACTAAGTCTTAACTGAATTCCGTAATTTACACATTACCATTACGAACGGGTTCAAATTGAATGACGACGACAATAATTACATTTAACAACAGAACAATAACAAGGTGGACTATACAGAGTGTGAGTGTGTACGAGCATAGAGTTTGAGTGTAGAGTAGAGTTTGATATGTAGTATTTTGGAGTGGTGCAAAAATAAGGACATAATAGCGGAGTTCAGTGCACTTCTGATAGTGAATTAACTCTTATATCACAAAGAAAATACTTACCCAACTTAAATGTTATATTAATACGATCTTATAGGAAAAAAAAAAAAAACAATTAAATTCTATGAGAAAAAAAACTAACGAAAAGCCTTGAAACCATTTTTTGATATAGAATTTTATTTAAAATTATTTTGGCAATTGGTTGCTTTCTTAAAAAATTGTTTTATTGTAGTTCAATATGAACAGAAAGATGTAAATTGAGAAAATTTAAAACAACGAGGTGGGATATATTCAAAATATATTATACAAAATAATCCCAACGATTAAAAGCAATCCAATCAATTTTGATAATGACTCGGTCCATTTTTTGTTCATATAAACCAGACGCATAAGTTATCGTATTCATCGGTTAAAAATCTCATTACTAAGCAATGGGTTTATTAAGTACATTTTGGCATTATAACTCCATAAGTTTAAATGGGCACGTTGTAAAAAGTGGTTTCCACCAAAAATTAATAAATTAGGTCAAAGAACTGTCGTTTAATTTTGAGAACACCAGAGTTATATTTCTGTCTAACTTCACTTCACTTAATTTTTTGTTTTCTGATGGATCGACTTGCAGATGTTGTAATTGATTTCATGCAAACGTATTTCATTTCGCAAATATTTGTGTTTCAGTAAAAATAATTTTGAACGTATGTCCTCTATAAATTAAGTAGGACCTATATGATGTGCAAAGTTCAGTCCAAACATAATTTGTAGATTTTTCAAAACCATTTTTTAAGAAAATACGAAAATATCATAACAGTTACCTGGTATCAGTTTGCCAAACATATGCTCTGTTCCAGAATTTGGAAGAATCAACTACTATTGCAAAAATTTGGTAGTATTGTAGGTTGTGAGCAGAAAACCCATAACTACAAAAACAAACTTTGCTGTGAAAAAGAATTGCTAGTAGAGATTGAGTCGAACTTGAATGGATTCTGGTCTTTACTTCAACATCTTGTGTTAGAAGAGATATAAAAAGAATCGGAAGCTCATTTCGCATTTTATGAGATATAATTGCTCACAAATTTGGCTAGTTGTGGGTGATGTACCAGAAGGAGTGGTTCAATAGATTTCAACTTCAACCCAAATATTGTGTTAAAAAAAATATTGGGATGGGTGATATTTGAAGAGAATCGGGTGCTTATTTCGCATTATCTGAGACATATAATAATTCAAAATTTTGATCCGTTGAGTGGGAGGTACCAGGAGTGGTCCAATAGATTTCATCTTCGTACCAGATCTTGTGTTGTAAAAAATATTGGGATGTGTGAAATTTGGAATTTTGGAAATAGTCCAATGCTTATTTCGCATTTCATAAGAGTTTAGTTTTAACAATTTTGGAAACGTTTCTGGGTGAGGTACAAGAAGGAGATAGGACCGATATAACCCACCATCACACCAGATTTTGTTAATAAAAACATTGAGTTGTGTGAAATCGGATACTTATTTAGCGTTTTATGAGATATCTTAGTATTCAAAATCTTGATCCGTTGCGGGGGGAGTTACCTGAAGGACTGGTATGATATATTATATCTTCACACCTCTTCTTATGTTGATAGGAATATTTGGGCGAATTTGATTTAAATATATGTAAATTTTGGCATGACGTGGGGGTGGTAACAGAAGGAGTGGACCGATATTGCCCATTTCCGAACTCGATCTAAGTTTGATAATAATATTATGACATACCCGATTTGGTTCAAAATTGGATACTACCATCCCTGTGCACCAGCCAGATAGACGGACGGACGGACACCACTAGATTGACTCCAAATGTCCTCAAGCAGCTTTGGTCCAAAGAGGCATGTGGTCTAAAACCCTTATTTCACGTTTTGGCCGTATCGAATGACATATACCCTCTGTAGCCATATGGTTGAGGGTTTGGTAAATACTTACTACACATATTAAAATACGAAGTTAGGATGCTGTTTAGTTTTTGTGCCAAAATGTACTAATTTGACTCATTATTTGATAATACGAAAATTGATTTGTTGCTGGGTATATCCTCTGTAAAGCAATGAATTTTGAAATTCAATCGATCTTTTTTATTATTTGCAGGTTGATAAAAAACTGTCACTATTTCATTCTCAAGTTTTGAACGACCAAACCTTTAGAACGCAGTCGTACGTTGTCTTTTTAATTTCGAATTAATATTTAAAAAATCTATTTTTTTTTTGTAAATCTAGTTTACTATCTAGTTCAATCGTTCGGACTAAGGAGGGCGTTACCATATAAATGCAAAAGACCTGAATTACTGATCATAGTTCAATGATCTAGAATGACCTACTTCATACGTTCTATTCAATAAATCATTCCATTCGAGAGGTATACAACATTGAACTTTCATTCTGGAGTACTTCATTGTCGTTCCGTTAGATTTATTCTTCAAGTAACGGGCCTATATCTGATGGCTTGTGATTGATTTTTTACTTGGATAATATGGAAATCTTATAGATGTAATAAATGATACAATTGGGCAAACACGCGCCATTACGACTTAACACCGTTGTATACAATCACGAAAAACAAATGCATATTGACATGGAAAAAGGAAGTATGAGGACGGGCAATTGTAAAACTAATTACAATTTACATTCAAGTTTACATTGAGTGCATGAACAACTGGTATAACCTAAAATCGTTTCTAGATACCTTTGATGTGCAAAAACAGCATTCGAATTCCACCGGTACATCCTGGTCGTAGTTGTCCAGTCGTTGATTTTGCAAATTTTCTAGCGCCACCTGACGTCGCAATTCCGCCACTTCCTACAAAACGGGTGTGGGAGGGACATGTAATACATTCTCAAATGCAGAATTCATTTCATAAATAAGTTCAATCAAATACACACAAAAATATCATTGAATGCATAATTCAAAATAAATGTAAAGTTAAAAAAAGAAACGAAATTGTATTTAGGAAGAAATTGTATAAAAAATGCACAAACTTGTTTAAGAGAAACAGAAAACCAAGAGAGTATTTTATATACAAAACAGTATGTAGAAGTCACAATATATATATATATATGAATCAAACAATATGCACATACAAAATGCAACAAGAAGACACCTCAAAAAAAAAAAATTAAAAAAAAATAAGAAGGAAAAAATAGAACTCAAGAAAATATAATTGATAATTGTTAAGAAAACGACAATCGAACAAGGACAAGTGCAGAGGCAAATACAAAATCTAAACATGTACAGTATGCAACCATATAAAAATGCGTGTAAATGTAGGTACATGTATATGTGTATTCATGTGTGTATGTGTATGTATGTAGGTGTAGGTGCATTATTATAATCCATAACCTCAAATAGTAAAGGACAGAAAAAAGCATCATGCCCAATATAATTCTTTATTTCAAGTTTCAACAAATAAATATGTATTTCTTTTAAACGAGATACTGTGCAGCATGTAAACGTCAAGAGATATTTTGTGAATAATTAAATTATAATTTTTCGACTGAACGTTCATTAATCTCATAAATAAACATAAAGTGTAAATCAAAAAGAATTTTTACGAGTAAAACTATATTTTGTAAGAATTCGAATTTTGTGGGAGAAATCCCATTTAGACATGTCCGTCGGTTTAAAAATGCCTGTTCGCCTGTCTGATTGTGGAAATCACGTTAGCTGGCGAGCTGACTGAATGTATCTTAAGTCCGCAGATTTTTAAGGTAATTAAATTTTACCATATAGTTACACGATTTGGTGTCGTCCTATTATTTTTGGTGCTTTGATTCTAAATTGGAAGTTTATATTCTCGGTGGACAGAAAACATTATGCCCAGAACTCCATGCAAAACCAACTCCATGTTCAAGAACTTATACCGCATCAGAAAGAAAATAGACTCAAAAGAGTTGCTTCGCTTGGCCTGAAATGGTGAATTGCCGAATTTGGTTTTCTCCGTTGAGAAAACATTCGTTGTTCAGCAGTTTGTAAACAAACAAAATTATTAAGGTGACCAATTCGAACAAATCTAAACCTATTCTAAAATTTGATGCTATTTCCGACATTTTTTGGTTTCATTTAAAACAAAATTTTCATTTAAACAAAAATTATGGCGTTTGTCTTTGTTGCTGTGTTTTTTATCTCACCCTGTATTTTTCCATAATACGTTTTGTCCAGTCTTTACCAGTTTAGGTCTTTGAAAATATTCGTTGCCCAGTAGAATGCTCGTGTTTACTTGCCGAAGAGGTCAGCTGAAAATGTGCACCTTCGGTTGGCAACCAGAACTCAAGCGCCGGCCATGGTGACGGGGTGGGCGCCATAACAGCCGATGACCACTCCCCGCTCGTATCAATCGACCGTGGCATCAGAATAAATGCCGAATATTATCACTGACCTTGGACATTCCAACAGGACTCAATACCCTCGTACCCAGCACGCACCACCCAAGAATTGTTATAAAATGAGGTTCCTCGCTTTATTTCCAGAGCACAATGGCTACCAAAATCTCCGGATACAATCCGTTGTACTATTGTGTCTGGAGTATTTTGAAAGCAAGGTTGGCACTAAAAAATACCAAAGAGTCGATGCCGCAAGCAAGCTCTTTGCTGGGAATGGGCCAAAATACCGCAGAGCTACATTCGGACAGCGTGTGACGGATTCATTGGCCGTTTGAAGGCCATAATTCGTGCCAAAGGTGAACAATTCGAACAAATCTAAACTTATTCTAAAATTTGATGCTATTTTCGAAATTTTTTTATTTTAATCGATAAAATTAAAAAAAAATTGTAAAGATCATGGCGTTTGACTTTGTTGCAGTTTTTTTGTCTCACCCTGTAAACCCTCTGTAGCCATATGGCTGGTGGTATAAAAATTATTTCTCTATTCCAGAACTGCAATAATGTAAAAGTTTTTACAAAAATAACCAATATTCCCCTTATGATATCGAAAAGAATTGCAAAACTAGTAGATTCTTGCAGGTTCTGGAACACAAAGTATGTTTGTGAATACACCTTGGCAAAAATTAACGAATTTGCCATCCTGCAATTTGCTATGTATGGTTCAAGTGTTGTTGGTATGTTTTTTTATAGTCTACAAAAATTAATGTTTGAAAACGCTTATAACCAATTTCTCAGTTCCAGGACCTGCAAGAATCTACTAGATTGCCATTTTTTCGATATCACTAAGAGAAAATCGGTAATCATAGTAAAAACTTGTACATTCTTGCATTTATGGAATAGACCAAATGTGTCTACATAAAAGAAAAACACAATCCTGTAGAAGTAGAAATAATGTTCGATTTTCTTCCATATCCGAAAATCGAACATTATTTCTACTTCTACAGAAGTTTATAGATTCTACCGAAGTTTATAGATTAACACGAATCACGCATTTTACAAATTTCATGATTGGTTAAAATTTCTGAAAATTTGGATAGATAAAACCCATTTTGGCAAACTGCTCTTTGTCTCATTCTACTGGTCAGATAATGGCTATAGGGAAGGTTTTTAAAAATGTTGGCATACTCATTACAACATTTCGGCCGGTATCTCAGGAATAAATGCTTCAATTTTGTCTTCAATTGAAGTGGGCTCGTCTGTATTGACATCAGTTTTAATATAGCTCCACAACAATAGTCCGAAGGCGGCGAAATAGCCGATTCAGGACGTGAAATAAAATGTTAATCAAATTCGACGCCGTCCATTGTTACGCGTGCTGTGTGGCACCGTCTTGATAAAACCACGTGTCATGCAAACCAAGTTCTTGGATCTTGTGCAAAAAAAGTTGGATATAATTTCACGGTAGCGCTCACCATTCACATGCACATGTTTGAACGCACACATAATGTATTCGGTAGGGCCCTAATACTTTTTATACCCTCCACCAAAAAAGGTATGGAGGGTATATTAAGTTCGTCATTCCGTTTGTAACTCATCGAAATAATCATTATAGACCAAACAAAGTATATATATTCTTGATCAGCGTAAAATTCTAAGACGATTTAGCCCTGTCCGTCCGTCTATCCGTCTGTCCGTCTGTTGTAATCACGCTACAGTCTAAACGAATTAAGATAGGAAGCTAAAATTTTGCACAGATCTCTCTTTTGTCTGCAGGCAGGTCAAGTTCGAAGATGGGCTATATCGGTCCACGATATCGTGTAGCCCCCATGTAACGGTACCCCCCGATATTCGGTATTTTAATGATTTTACCCACATTTTTCAACAGAATTGTCTGAAAATCCACACAAGGAGTTCCTTGTGGGTACTTTATACCTCGGTAGAGAATTATTTATATAGGTCCACAATATCGTATAGCCCCCATATAACGGTACCTCCCGATAGTCGGGATTTTGATGATTTTACCCACATTTTTCAACGGAATGGTCACAAGGGGGTTCTTTGTGAGCACTTTACCCACCGACAGAGATATATAGGTTAACGATAACGTATAGCTCCCATATAACGGTACCCCGCGATATTCGGTATTTTGATGATTTTAGCCACATTTTCCAATCGTATTGTCTGAAAATCCACACACGGAGTTCCTTGTGAGTACTTTACACGCAGACATAGATTTGTCTTTAAAGGTCCACAATATCGTATATCCCCCCATATATCGGCACCTTCCTATATTAGATATTTTAAAGATTTTAAAAGAATTTTTATTGGATTTTATTTTTTTGAAAATTTTCTAATTCGTTCCAAATGGTGGAGGGTATTCAAAGTTCGGCCCGGCCGAACTATCTGCTTTTTTATTTGTTATTTTTTGTCTGTATACAAACATGTATTGTGACAGTTTATATTCAAATTATTTTTGATCAACTCGAAGAAGTTCAATGAACAAACGGATATTGCTTTTAATTGGTAAATATGCGGATTAATCCTAATTTTTTTTAGCTCTAATATGATACATGCAATCTATAGCCATTATTGGAGTGCAAAAAATATCAGTTGTCTGCTCCAGAAAATCATCATTTGATAAATTGCATCGCAATTTGAAAACAGAAAATGAAAATCAATATTCCAACTACAGAAATAGAAAATTTCTGCATTCAAATAAGTCACGTTCTGCGCCAATAGATTTTGATGGATCTCAAAATTCAGGCACGTCAACTGAATGTGGTAAATATCGATTTGACATTTCACTTTATATATTGTCTTTTGTCCCTATGTAACAGATTTAATTTCAGTGTCCCCATCGCCTGAAGAAGAGGAATATTATTATTCTTCGGCAGATGATGGTGATGTGTCAACAAACAGTCCAATCGAAACGACATCAGTCGATGATTATCAATTCTCATCTCCAACTCCGACGTTTAACACCTTTGAACAAGAACCAACATTAAACAGCATCGATCAGGAATCGAAAGCCAAAGAATTGCGAAATCTTATCCAGCATTTATATGTTGCCCAAGCTCGGGTTCAATTAGAAGCTGCTGAAATAAAAAAAGCTCAAGCTATAGCGAATACGGCTCAACAAGCTCTCGAGGAAGCGGCAAACCATGTAAGGGCCATTACTGCATCATTACAAAGTTCACAGCAGGAAGTCGCTGCTGCAGCAATTCGAGCTCAAACTGCTCAGTTGCAATTGGCCGCTCATGATCAACTTTTATTTGCTGCTCGACAGGATGTAGACGCTTTGTCGTCGCAAATGGTTGGACTGCAAGCCGCTGAGGGTATATCACAACCCAAGATTACAGTCGATGTATCGGATCTATTGGAAAAACTAAATCAACCTTTACCAGAATCTGATAAGCCTACACCTGTCCCAACCATTGTTCCGATTGTGCCAACGAAAGCTGAACGTCGAGGAGCATTAGAGAAAAGATATTATCAAGATCGACAACTGTTACCGGGTATTTAAGAGACTTTTAGCGTGAAGGGACAACAGTCTTATTATATTTTAAAAAATAGAAAGGCTATATATTTAGTAATGTATTTACAATAAATGTAATGGCTTCTTTCTTAAATAATTACAAAGCAAGAGAACATTTCCTTCTTTACCAAGCGAGGAGTTACGTCGGCATTGAGTGTGCGCGTCCGAAAAAAACCGATGGCTGTGAATCGGCGTCGATAATCAAAACAACGCTGAGTTGTTAGCATAACTTTTATTGAAAAGTTTGACTGCATTACGCAAGAAGTTTTACTGATATTTGTAGTTTAAAGTGAAACACGTCTTTACCCAATGGTGTAGGGTATTAAAAGTTCGGCTCGGTCGAACTTAATTATTTTATTTGTTTGTTCTTAGAGGGTACCTGAGATCTTTACAAAAAAAAAAAAAAAAAAAATAACAAGTAAGCAAAGGCTATAGTCGTGCGGGGCCGACCATGTGATACCCTACAATTTAATGGAAAATTTGACTTTTATTTAACACGAATGTTATGGTCTATTTCACTATTTCAAAATTGGAAGGCTTCTGCCCAGCCCTAAGCTCTAGCCCCATGCTAACTTCCGCTTCGATTGGTCCATAATTGCGACCTGTAGAGCAACTGCAAAATCAGGAAGTTTTTCAGTTTTTGGTCCATTTAAATCCCTTAGTATTATGCGATCATCTCCAAAAGCAATTTATTTATGAGCCAAAAAAAAAAAATAATAAATAAATAAATTGAGAACATTGGACATATTGTTTGTATAGCTATCTATCTATATCTCCCATACAAAGATATTTTCACATTAGCCGTATTTTTAACTGATATTTTAACACAAGTAGGAACCACAAATCATCTGAAATCATCTATTCGAGCGGTATATTTATTGAAGTTATTCCGGACATTCAATACCAAATCTCAAAATTTTCGTTGAAAAATCTATCTGAAGCATTCAAAAGACCGATTCTAGACAATTACAACAGAAAAAAATTTCTGAACACCAAATTTGAAAAGTGTGACTAAAAATATCCGAATGCCAAAAATTGCGAGGTACCGCTATATGGGGGCTATGGGTAAACAAGGACCGTTGTAGACAATTATGTCAATATGGCTAAATGCTGCTAAAGTCATTATGGAGATTATCATTATGGCGGGCCGAAATAACGCTAGCGGGATTACAAGGAAGTGGGCGGAAGAAAACAGCAACATTAGCAGTAATGGTACGAAAAGTAAAGAAGCTACTTGATAAAAATCCGCGTCGCAGTGGCCAAAAAATGGCTCGTGAGTTGAATATATCGCAATATTCCATTCGGCAAATATTGAAAAATGAGCTCGGGGCAAATCCATTTAAATTCCAAAAAGTGCAAGAACTTACACCGCAACAGAAAGTAAATAGACTCAAAAGAGCTAAAGAGTTGCTTCGCTTGGCCGAAAGTGGTGAACTGCCGAATTTGGTTTTCTCCGATGAGAAAACATTCGTTTTCCAGCAGTTTGTAAACAAACAAAATGATCGTGTTTACTTGCCAAAGAGATCAGCTGAAAATGTGTACCTTCGGTTGGTAACCAGAACTCAAGCGCCGGTCATGGTGATGGTGTGGGCCGCCATAACAGCCGATGGTCTCTTTCCGCTCGTGTTAATTGACCGTGGCATCAGAATAAATGCCGAATATTATCGCGAAAATATTCTGTAGGGTGTATTAAAGCCTTGGGCTCGCAAACATTTACGCCGCAGACATTGGATATTCCAACAGGACTCAGCACGCGCCACCCAAGAATGGTTACAAAATGAGGTTCCTCGCTTCATTTCCAGCGTACAGTGACCACCAAAATCTCCGGATACCAATCCGTTGGACTATTGTGCCTGGAGTATTTTGGAAAGCAAGGTTGGCACTAAAAAATACCAAAGTGTCGATCATGTCAAGCAAGCGCTTCGCCGGGAATGGGCCAAAATGCCACAGAGCAAATTGGACAGCGTGTGACCGTTTCATTACCCGGAGGTCATAATTCGTGCCAAAGGTGACCAATTCGAACAAATCTAAACTTATTCTAAAATTTGATGCTATTTCTGATATGTTTCGCTTTCATTCAATAAAATAAAAAAATAAATAAAAAATAAAAATATCTCACCCTGTATGTTTTCTATCTAGATTTCAACAAGCAGACGGACAATGTTGAATCGGCTTTGAATCATTTCTAAATACATCTCCCTTTTAGATATAATTTACAATTTTTGTTGATGTGACCAACATTATATTAAATTTTTAATTTAATTATTTAATTATATAAATTACTACAAATTACTTTTTCGAAAACAAAGTACTGAAAAAAAACATGGATATAGTCAGGTAAAGTAAAATAAACATTTTTGGAAATTAACCGGAACCAAAAAACAAAACTTATACATATTAATAGATTCAAATAACATAATGTTATTATTGATGACATATAGAATATTAAGCTAAAGGCAAACCAAAAAACAAAATCATTTAAATAACAATAGATAAAGGTAATGCTGATTTAAACTCTTTTAAATTATAATAGTTCGGAGCAATCATAGTTTTCAAAATATGTTCAAGAGAATCGGAAGAGAGTAAACGAAAGGTTATTGTTTGTCAAACAGGAAGTAGGTATGAAAAAAGTAGGTATTTGTTCGGCTTGTAGGAAGAAAGATAAGAAAGCAAAATAGTATTGTATTGTTTTCAATAAAACTCAAAACAGTTGTCATTCCAAAAATATGTACTTGAAAAGTTTCGAAACAGATGATCAAGAATTGGTTTCACTTGAGCATAACAGGTGCCAATTGCAAACGTTTTTCACTGTTTTTCTTTTAATTGTTTATAATGAAAATGTATTTCCTCATAGCATTTTGGTTTCTTGCTTTTTTTGTTGTATTTGTTATAAAACAGCCTCTAATAATGGTTCAAGACATTGTACAAAATCAAATGAATGATAAAATAAATTAGAATTGAATTAAGGAAAATACATAATTTGTTTTGTTTTTTTTTTTCAAAATAAATGAAAAAGAAGTATAATTAAGTAATTGTAAGGTATTTTATTATACCTCCTTACTCCGTCCCCGTAGAATCTATAATTTAAAAGGGTGTGTGTTTTTTTAAAATTTTCAAACAAATTCATTATACAAGAGAAAGTTAAGAGTTACATTGAGATGGATAGTAAAACAAATCATCAATGAAAGAGGTTAACTATCGGTTGGTTGTACGGAAATGAAACAAAGCATTTCGAAATTAAAGAAAAAATAAACGAAACGAAATAGAGTATCACCAAGTCCTAGATGAGAAAATTGAATTGAGTTACAAACAAACGTATGAAAACAAACCGAAAACCCAAAAAAGAAACAAAAATACTTAATAACATAAACAAATAAGTATATATTATTCTGCTTATATAGCCTTTTAGCCTTCAATTGACAGATATGGCTTCTTTTTGGTAACAAAACTTTAAAAAAATCACAACGATTATGTGTACAATTAAGATGTGAAATAAACAACACAAAAACAATATCATAAGTTTGGGTTTCGAATATCTAAATGTTTAGTGTGTGTGTGTGTGTTAAATATGTTCTGCGACGAGTTAATCAGGTGGCAACACTGATTTTGTAATCCCTATTATTTTAAAGATACATTTGTAACCTTAAACTTTTGTCTTCTGCATATTCATTTAAAATCTTCAGACACATGCTTTCGCTATATTAACACTAAAACTTATATTTATGATGTACTATATTTGAATATTTCAAAAATCGATTTCAAAATAGACATGAGAAGTATTGGAGTTGAAGTATTAGCTAAACAAATCTTCATTAAGGCTGACCTTTGGTTGGTAAAATATGTCGGGTTTGCACTCAAAAACAATTTTTCAAACATGGATATGACGATGATATTCAATTTCGTCTACACGAAACTTTACAAATAGGGCTCTAAGAGCGCGCTTAGTGGTTGTACTAATATTGTCTATTTTTGCACCTGTCCGTTGTACCATGGTGCCAAAAAAAAAATCGAGGTACAATAACGAATTGTATTAAGGTGATATGTATGGTAGTCTTGTAATGTCAAAACATATACAGAGATTTTATATGTGTAGTTATAGTTTTGAAAAACATTCAAAATAATTTTGAAAACTTTCAAATCCAGTTATTACTCAAATTCTATGTTTTGCGTTTTGGGATGAAAAAAAAAACTTTGTCATAATAGGATCTCGATATTCTGTAAAATTCGCGACGCATAATGGTTCAGAAATTTTTTTTCTATTTGAACCGTTGAATATATAATCTTCAAAAATTATAGGCTTTAATTCTGACCCTAACCCTACCACTATGTAAAATTTCGTGAGGATATTATGAGGAGGATATTATATTATAAAAAAGTTATTCACTTTTTTTACTGACACATCTTACGCGATTTTCTAAGATTGTATCCTTTTTTGGCAAGAGACCATTTCGAATTGATATGAATTGTGAAATTCAGTTCAGCGATTCATATCTTATAAGCAGAATAACTAAAATATATTTATTTTACAGGTCTGAACTGACCTTTTAATATATTTGTGATCTCGCCGGGATTAAAATTTTTCGAGGTTGTGGGTATTATTGTAAGTATGTATTGTCCGATGACCTCCAAATTGGTAGGCTTCTGTCCAGCCATGAAACCTAACTCCATGCAAAATTCGATTGGTTGATTGTTTTATAATTCTATCCTGACCCTGACCCTATTTCCATTTTCAATTTCGTGAGGATCGGGTCATAATTGCGACCTGTAGCGCGATTAGAAATTAACATGGGCAGATGAAAACACAGACAGGCGGACGATCATTCAAAGCTAGATCGACTCAACTCCGCGAGTTAGGAAAATCCATATATAGTTTCCTATATCGGGAAACAACATTTCGAGGTGTAACATAATTTTTGACCCAATCAAACTTATAATCCCCCAACACACATAGTGCTGTAGGGTATACAAATTATTAATTTTTTTAACTTTTCTAATAAATAGGAGGATATAAAACACAAAACTCTTATTAATGATATCAAAAATTGGATTTTGTTCTTGAATTCCTCTGCAACTACTAAACCGGAATATCCTCTTTCGTTAAAAAGTTACAGAATTTTGACCAGGAAAAATTATTCCGTACCACTGTGCGACGTTCAAATAATTATTCGCTATTTTTTCTTAAATAAAATACAGTACAAAGGTGTCAAGTAAACAAAAATAATTGTTGCATTTGTTGTCATTAAAATTGAAGTTACAAGACTCTAGCTTCAGAGTTGAATTTTCACATTTAATCAATCTGCTCTACAATTACCATGGGCTGAACTACATTGGATGCACATTTGGCTTCATATAAGGTATAAAATCTATCTTTAGAGTGGATCTAATACCGATAGAAATACGAGCTGTACTAATTTTGAAATTTTATCTTCTAAGGAGGAGATACGAAAAGAAGTGGACCGATATCAATGTGCCACAATTTTCGGTCAGGGTCTGGGTGTGGGAAATTCTAAGTACAGGTTCTAGTCTTATATTAATAGATAAAAAAGGGTTTCAAAAGGGTTTTTGATACCCAGGCCAACTTTGTTACAATACTGAATGGGCCTCAAATAGTTTGCTATATACTTCGCAAAATTTAAGAAGAAGCTTTATAATATGATGCCGTCCTTGGGTTGGATGGAGAATCATTTCTACAAATTTACATTTTAGCCATATTTTTCACATATTGTGAGAATCTATATTAAAAATGTTTGCTCGTTAATGGGGGAGCAACCAGGCGGATTGCGCACTAGACCGTAAGCCTGACATAAATATTACGACGTGCCAAATTTAAAATAGTAAGGAAAGGTCTACAGTCGCTTGGAGCCGACTGTATAATATCCCACACCGCTATGCGTATTTAGTAGTAATCCCTTAGCTGTGTCTGATGTCGGGTATCAAATGTAGTTCTTGTGGAGTGCATATTACGAATGTGAGGGACTTAAACACCAAATCGGATGAAACATATATATAGGAGATATAGGTATATTTGACCCGATTTTCTCCTAATTTGAAGTACTTATTTCTAATCTGAATTCGGATTTGCTGAAACACATCGTATTTGGACGAATATTATACATTTGGTGCACAATAAACCTGAAATCGGATAAATATATAAATGGGAGCTATACCCAAATCAGAACCGATCTTAACAAAATTTGAAACACTTATTTCTGAGCTGTATCTTATATCCGGTACCAAATATCATTCTTGTGGAGGGAAATATTATGCATGTGAGACACTTAAAACACCAAATTAGATGAAACATATAAATGGATGCTGTAGTTATATCTGAACCGAATGAGTGCGGTCGGATATGCTGAAACACATCCATTTTGACGAATATTACATATTTGGTGCACAATAAAACAGAAATTGGCCGAAAAAGTGGCAGCTATATCTAACGATTATCACCAATTTCAATAGGGTTCGTCTTTGGGCCAAAAAACTGATTTGTGCAAAATTTCAATTCAATCAGACGATAAATTCGACTTGTACTTTGTTTTCAGAAATACATGGACAGACGAACATTCATAAATCAACTCAAAATGTGATTCTATGCAGATCATCAAAAGGAACTATGGGTCTACCTCGCTTCTTTCTCCATGTTACAAACAAATGCACAAATACATAATACTCTCACCATAGTGTGGTGTAGGGTATAACAACTCTCATTAGGCATAAGGCTGACGGCGTAAAAATGCATGGGAGCCTAATAACCGCCATCTACTCTTACAATTTTAATCATGTTTTCATATCAATCTGAATGAACTCAACGGACTCTACATGGTTCTACGACGTTCAACAACTTTTGCTTGTATTTGTCTTATCTTAAAATGTGCCCCTTTCGTCCATTTGGATTTTAAAAACAAATGCAGAAATCTATGATTCGTGTGGGCAGCGATTAATTGGTATTTTTAAATACGGATGTCGCACTTTTTTATTTTTTGACATTTATCCATCATAAGTGAAATCTGGGGGTGACTACAGTGCAATTAGTAATTTCTAATGGATAATCACCAAATACTTTTTTTCTACCAAATATTAAAACAAAATTTTGTTCTATGTTGTATATATAGCATCCGAACATGAAACCGAGAGCATTTATGAAACAACAAATAAATCTACCTATGTAGCATTTTGCCACAAAATTAAGTTAAGATATGAGACGTCTGTTTCCATTAACTTCGCAGTCATTGTGTTACTTTTTTTGACTTCACTTAATATTCAATGGTTTTCATTTTCTATTTTTTTTTTCTTTTTTAAGAACTGAACGTGTTGCCATCTCTTTTAACTCGATTCAGAACATAATTCGGTTTCAATATTGTTGGTTCTGTGTGTTTGTGTTTTAGCTACAATTTACAACATATATAAATCATAGAATTGAAAGTTAAACAAATTTAAAGAATGAAATCTGATGTGAACAGAACGAACGTTTGTCTTGGCCGTATGGGGGCCACTGTAACAGTTAGCTGTCTGAGACAGGTGACACATGACACTTACCCCTGGCTTAATCATCATTTGTACGGGTAGCATTGAGGGTGGTCCATTTTCGTCATCACCGCCACCACCCGAGGCTTGGACATTGGAACCCGTACCTTCGTCACCAGCAGTACTCGACTGCTGCTGTGTTTGGTTATTGGCTGCACTTGGTCCGCTATTGGCGGTTGTAATTGCGTTTGAAGAAGTCAGTGCCAAGGCTGCAGACTTGGCGGTGTTGCCTAACTGCTCTTGCTGCTGCTGCTGTAATGCCTGCTGCTCACGTCGATAGCTTTCCATTGCCATCATTGATGTTTGCCTTGCATTCGGGTTATCGAACGTGTATGGCGGCACAGCGTCCTGTTGATCGGGTATAGATGATCCATGATGCTGGACACAATAAAAATGATATGGAAATGATGTAAAATATTAGTGATATCCTGCAAAGTAATATGTTTCCATCAAGGACAATTATCTCAAAACATTTGAAACCACATTTCAAACAAGTATCTTGTGTCTGATTTGGTTTCGATATTTCGCGACTAAAGTGAGGGTTCACAATGACAATATCAAATCATGTTATTACAATTATATACCTAAATTAATAGAAAAAATATAATACAATATCAACATTGTCATCACCATTGTTATTGTTCATTTCAATAGTTAGTTAGCTAGTCAGTTATGGATAAGGGTGGGTTGAGGCCACACCAAATGGTCCAACCAAACAAACTGAACAAGAAATTCATACTCACATGTGGTGCATTCGAGTTTCTTAGATTAGAGACATGATCGTAGTTCTTATAGCAACCGATCCCTGTTGTTGCCGGGTTTCGTCCACTGGTCGAGTCGCCTTCTGTGCTATTCCCATCCGTCTGCGAGAGGTTGTGCCCTGTGGGTAACGATCGTCGTAGGGCTTTTGTTAAACGGTGCCAATTTTTTATGGATCTAGAGCGACTTTCGCGCTTTTCTAATGTATGTGTATGTGTGTTTGTGTAAATAGTGGTGAAATAGAATGAAAGTTGTTATGGCGATGGGTAGGTGTGCGATTTTGTGTTTCCGTTTGGCGTGTAGGTGTGTATTTTATATGACGCGACAACGATGACAGTGACGGATGAATGGATGAATGGGCAATTATGCAAAGGATTAGATGTTGGGTGGGTAATTGTCGTGTTAGTTTGAAGAAGGAGAGATAGAACGAACATTTCAGAGTTATGATCGTGCATATGGCATGATCGGAGATATTCGTAATGTCATTATTCACACAGTTATTGGATGTTTGTTGTTAATCGAAATGATAGCGCGCAGCCGCATTTATGCAGATTCGTGTAGGTGTGTGAGTGTTTTTAGGAGATACATATGTATTAGCATTCGTTACAGGTTCGGTCGATAGTTTTGCCATGGAACATTATTTTTCAGAAAATGATACCAAATAATGTAATTTTGTTGCAGTTGTTGTTTTTTCATTGTTGAGAATCGTATCGGGTGTGAGTGGGTGTGTAATTTGTTTTCAATTCAAATGGAGGAGCCGTTCATATTCATATTATTGTTGTTGTTGTTGATGTTTTTTGATTTTGACATTTCAAAGTCGGCCAGAAAGTAGCGAGCGAGCGAACGAACGAACGGAGGAACGAGCGAGCGAGCACACAATCAAATTTACGAAAGAAAAAAAGAGGAAATTTTTGTATGAAATTCGTTTAAGGCTTACTTCGTGGGATTTAGTTGTTAACACGTAGAACACAACAAACTTACAACATTTATGTATTTATAGTTCTATATAAGGTATGGATTGACTGCTTGTATTGAATGTTCGTTACGAATGTAACTTTAATAATACAGATATTAGCCAGCAAATAGTTGTAGTAGTAACAATAGAAGTAGGTGGGTAATTAGTTGATTGGTAAGTTAGTTGAGGTTGTTAAGGGGGTGGAGGGGTGGTATGATAAGTACACATAAATAATTAGTACTTTGCAATACACTTCGGGGTGGTTAGGGATTAGACATTTATAAAAAAAATAATAAAATTTTTAATTAAACATCAGAAGTTACAGAAAATTACACACCAATACATGTGAATACATATTTGTGATTTATTCGTGAGACCTTATCGATTATGTAAACTATCATTTTTGTGGGAAAAAGCTTTACGAAATATCCTATGTAATGCTAGATTTGCCTTTATGTCCCCCTAACAAGACTTATTATTTTCCAAATGTTCAGAATTACATTGGCTAATTATTTTTTGTTGTTGTTTTTTGTTATTTGTGTTATTGTTTAAAACTAGGGTTTTCATTAACCAAAAACCTATGGAAGTTTAATAATTGGTAATTGGGCCTTATGAGACTAGAGATGCGGCTGAACTCACAGAATCCAAGGATGTCAAAAATATATGAAATATTGGACATGTTAAAAAAACATTGGACCAATGTATATGATACTGAAATGCACCTTCAGATCCAAAACAGCGCATTTAAAAAACATAATTAAGATTGCAAATATTAGAATAATGTTTTCAAAATCAAACTTTTGTGCCATAAATTTGGTCATATGCTAATGTTAAAAATGCATTCGATTTAAAGAACTTTTCCGCAGCTTAATATAAGCCAGCTTGTGTTTCGGTTGATATTAACTTAATTACTTTTTCGTGTTTTATATATTGTGCGCATCCTTTTCTCTTGTTTTGGTTTATAAAAAATATATAGTTTGTGCACAAGTCGGGCAGATGGACGATAAAGCCACCACACAGTCTATACTCTGTGCAGGACCTATAAGAATTTCCATTCAGTAACTGTAATACCATTAGGGTCAGAATACAACAAATACATATTTTTAATTTATAGAAACTAAGATTTAATGTTCCAATGTTCAGTAGCTAACAGCACTTAGTTCTAAGATCGTTTGTGTTGTCTGTTATATTCTATGAGTACTTGGCTATCCTCTTATGATTGCAAAGTTACTTTGAACATTTTTTTCCTCCAATGACATTAATTCTAAATATGTAGCGTTTTTTCTTCAGTTTCTCAACATTTAAATTCCAGCAAGATCTGATTCCCACAGAATGTATGCAAAACAGCGCAACACTTTCCTAGAAATCGCTGTATGTTTCTCGTTTTTCAATTAGGTCTATCAGTCCGTGTAATTGTTCTAAATAAAACTCGTCTGCGTTATAGCAGTTATCACAAAGCATTTTAAATCTTAAATCTCGAATTACTTGTAGGTAAGTGAGAGTTGTGAAAAATTTAAACGCGTAGCTGCTGGAATAGTGCAGGGATATTGAGTTGTTTAGAAACTTAGTCATAGCAATTTCTTCCATGATCACACTCTTGACATGATATTACACTACGTTTATATATAAATGGATTAACCCACTGCATTTAGATTAAAATTTTCATATCCATTGCAACACATTAAAATAATCCTCTTAAAGAAGGTTAACCCCAGAATAAGTTCTAGCATAAATATAGCATTAATAAAAAAACAAATATACAATAAATTTTCTAGCCTTTGAGATTATGAGTTCATCATTTGGATTTTAAAAATATTTTCTATTTAAAAATTGACATGAGTCGCGCATTCAAAAGGTGCATGGAACGCTTACGCATGACACGCGTGTTTGTCTTAAACAAATTGAATTAGTGAATTGCTCCTAATTCCTTTTTTGGTCTAGCCCAGTTGCATTCGTCTCGCATTCGTCTACATGTTCTCAGGACTGCTTATTTTTAGTTTCTTCCACAGCCTATCCCTAGACTTTGGGAGCGTATGTTAATTATAGTAGGTTATAGTAGCCCTCACAGATGCGATGAGTCAAATTTGGATGTCAATCCCCCTTAAATGGCAGCTTAAACTCTGCAGAATTTCCATTACCTGTAAACCTCAATAGTCTGGTGGCATGTGTGATTCTTCTTTTCGAGTTCCCTGACGAGACAACTCTAAGATATTTTATAATTATTTACCAAAAAGTTGGGTAAATAAGATAAATTTTTAAATTTTTTGGCATCTTTTATACCAGAAATTAAAAAGCATTACTGAAAAAATTTCGTCAGTAATTTTTTGGCTTTTTCAAGACAATCCAGATCAAACTAAAAACAAAAAATGACTAAGAGTTGTTTTACTTTTGCGACAAAAAACTTACTGATAAAATATAACTGGAAAAATACGGAGCCAGCCTATATATTGTTTTCATCAGTGTGAAATGACATAAAATTATCTGCTCGCAGATACGCAGGGTGAGATGAAAAAACTGAAACCAACTTCAGACTGCTGTCATTTCTAAGCCACTAGTTCGACAGATGTTAAAATTATTCCACTGACAGCTCATTAAATTTTTTACAAGCGTACAAAAGCATTTTGGTGAAAATTTTCAAGAAAATAAGTTATTTGTGATGGATAGTGTGATTTCTTTATATTTGGCTGGAAAACCCAAGAAACCCAAGGCTATCATTAGAGCACTCCAGCATTAAAATGTGAATAAATCTTTTGTGTCTCCTACCATCGCTCGTTACAGTAATACCGGTAGCGTAGCCTGACGTCAAGGAAGTGGACGGAAGAAAACAGCAACATCAGCAGAAATGGTTCGAAAAGTAAAGAAGCGACTTGATCGAAACCCGTGTCGCAGTGGTCGGAAATTGGCTCGTGAGCGCGAAAGTATATTCCGCTCCATACGGCAAATATTGAAAAATGAGCTCGGGGTAAAGCCATTGAAATTCCAAAAAATGCAAGAACTCACACCGCAACAGAAAGAAAATAGACTCAAAAGAGCTAAAGAGTTGCTTTGCTTGGCCGAAAGTGGTGAACTGTCGAATTTGGGTTTCTCCGATGAGAAAACATTCGTTGTCCAGCAGTTTGTAAACAAACAAAATGATCGTGTTTACTTGCCAAAGAGGTCAGCTGAAATTGTGCACCTTCGGTGGGCCACCAGAACTCAAGCGCCGGTCATGGTGTTGGTGTGGGCCGCCATTACAGCCGATGATCGCTCTCCGTTTGTATTAATCAGAATAAATGCCGAATATTATCGCGAAAATATTCTGGAAAGTTATTAAAGCCTTGGGCACGGAAACATTTTGGCCGCAGACCTTGGACATTCCAACAGGACTCACCACCATCGCACTCAGCACGTGCCACCCCAGAATGGTTACAAAATGAGATTGCTCGCTTCGTTTCCAGCGCACAATGGCCACCAAAATCTACGGATACGAATCCGTTGGACTATTGTGTCCGGAGTATTTTGGAAGGCTCACCCTCACCATGTATACCCTCAGCATGTGGTCTGACATAAATTTGTTTTTGGAAATTGTTGAACTTTTGTTGCGGAGATACCAAGCGACGTAGACCTATTTCGATATCGGATTTTATATTGGCAGAAATGTCGGATTTTTATTGGCAGAAATATAAATGTGTAAATTTGAAAAGGACTCGAATTCCACTTTTTAAAGTTTATAATTTTTCTTCGTCGCATTTATCACATCTGGTGCTGACAATAGTTAAAATTGGTAACCGACACACGTCACATTCGCCCTAGGCATAGTGCTGACAAACATGTTTATTAGTATGAGAAACATTGTTATAATATAACTATGTGAAATAAATAAAACTATAACGGTAATCCTTATGATTTATTTGAGTTCTAACATTTTTTAAATATTTCATATATCTTGTAGGGAAGGTATTGGAAAGTGTGAATCGATATTGCCCATCTTTCAGTAATACCTGGTGTTGACACAAATATTGGAATGTGATGATTCATTTCACATTTTTTTCAGGTTTAAAGAAAGTGTATAAATATTGCAGATATTTCGACATAACCTAGGCGTGTATTGGATATTCCATTTCCTTTCTGTTAGATACCTAATTTATGCAACCCATCTTCGAACTATATAAAAGGGTGGACTAAGGCTGAACCAAATTAGATACTCAATTTGAGGGTTATCGTGTGCTCTATGCTGACAGCTATTTTGGCCATATCGATGTAAA